ACCCAGGAATACAGAAGATTTTCAATTACAAAAAATAATTCATTTTACTATAGGATCCGTGGAGTCCAACCCTAACTCCAGAACCCTAACCAAAGGGGCCATTGTTTCAGAATTTCAGAAGAAGCACTAATGTTCATTATATTATGTATTTCGTTTGTCTGCTAAATACAGGAGCAGAGATGTTCAAAAAAAATAATGCATGTTCACTATAGGACAAATAGAACCCCTCCCTAACATCAGATCCCCCCAGGGTCCGCACCCAGAGGCTATGAATTTCATAATTTTGGAAGAGGCACTCTCGCTCTTTGAAAACATATGATCAATAGGGCTTCATCCTAACTCCAGAAGCCCTGTTTCAGGGACCATGAATTTCACAAGTTTGAAAGAAGTAGTTCTTCTTATCCAACTATGCACTTAGTTTGTCTGCTTAATACACAGGAAGAGAATATGTTCATCCCCCCAGCCCTCCTTACACCAGAACCCCTGAATTAAGGGCCATGATTTTCATAATTTTGGAAGAGGCATTCTTGCACCTAGTTTGTCTGCTTAATGCTCAAGAGCAGAGAAGAAGATTTTCAAAGAATTAAGGATATAACACAAACAAAAATTTGATGCACGGGTTGTATTTTCTGACTGACTTTGAATAGAAATGACATAAATAATAAATACCTAAAATATAAAGAAATCTTTGGTACAGTATTTAGATATACGCGACTTGTTTTCTATATAATTCTATACAAAATTTTAAACACATCAACTTGTGACAAAATCTTACTAAATTCTCCAACTTTACCTGGCAAACATTATTCAGGTTACCTATTTGAATATAAATCTATGTAATTTCTGAAAAAGTTTGTGTTATTTATCCTTAATGGATTTTCACCATATCAACAAAAGAGCCCCACCCGTTACTCCAGAACCCCTGAACTATAGAGGTAATGAACTTCACTATGGGGCACCGTTGTTCATCATATTATTCACTTAGTTTATCCACAGAGGGAGAGAAGAATTTAAGCATTTTCACTATATTATCATTAGGGTACCGCCAGTGGCGTAGCTAGCAAAACTAGAATATGTCCATAGGATATGAATGCCCCGCCGAGTGTGTATTACTAATGCAACATGAAAATCATAGGTATTAGTGTATGAAGTTTGATGAGAATATCTTGAAAAGTTTCTTTAAAATTGAAATCTAAAAAGTTGGATATAGATGATTAATTATCACCAAATTATGTATAGATGCATAAAAATATTTCTTTAAAACTAGCAAAATGCAAATTAAAGAAAAGTGAGGCCAAGGTCACAGGAAAGTGCAAGGCCAAAAGTTTTTTATGCAGCTCTCACTAAGTCGTATCAGCATATTTAGTTTGATAAAAATATCTTGAATGGTTTATTAAAACTGAGCTAAACTCTAGTTTTAAAAAAGTGAGGTCAAGGTCAAAGGAAAGGCCGAGGTAAAAAAATGTTGATGCAGTTGAAAAGCTCACGTCAGTATGTATTAGCGTATGAAGTTTGATAAAAATATCACGAATGGTACCTTTAAAACTAAGCTAAAGACAAATTAAAGAAAAGTGAGGTCAAGGTCAAAAAATATTAATGCAGTTGAATAGCTTACATCAGTATGTATTAGCATATGAAGTTTGATAACACTATCCTGAATGTTTTTTTGTTTCAAACTGAGCGAAACACTAATTAAGAAAAGTGAGGTCAAGGTCACAGGAAAGGTCAAGGTCAAAAAATGTTGATGCAGTTGATAGCTCTCATCAGTATGTATCAGCATATGAAGTTTGATAAAATATATCTTGAATGGTTTATTTAAAACTAAGCTAAACAATTTAAGAAAAGTGAGGTCAAGGTCAAGTTCAAAAAATATTGATGCAGTTGAATAACTCTTATTAATATCTATCAGTATATGGAGTTTGATATTAATATCTTGAATAATTTCTTTGAAACCGAGCTTTGAACTGATGTAAACGTAAAGCGCGACGGAAGGACGGAAAGATGGAAGGACGGATATGACAAACTCTATATGTCCCGGGTATATTCATGGTGGGGCATAAAAATTACTGCATTCGAAAAAAGGCAAAGGTCTGGGTCCGCCTTGAGGTCCCAGCGGGTCCAGGGCATGCAGGGGCCCTGGTTGGGGGCCCAGGGGGTGAAACCCCCGGAAGCTCCTATCATATGGTTTTCAATTTTTTATTATCGCAATTTTTACTTTGTATGAAGAAAAAAGCTTGAGTTTTGACAGATTCCACAAAATGTTTCTTCAAAAGCATTTCCGATAGTATGAAGGCATTTCATTTTTAGCTCACCTCGACGAAGTCGAGATGAGCCGGCGTTGGCGTAGATTTTACCTAGATTTTCCAGATGAGTGACCAGGTTAAAGTTTTTGGAGCAGGTCCATTGCCAAGGAACTATAAGCCCTACCTTGGATGGACACTACCACACTTGCTTCGGATTCTGGATCTGACCTAGATTTTCCAGATGAGTGATTAGGTTAAAGTTTTTTGAGCAGGTCCATTCCCAAGTAATTATAAGCCTTACCTCCAAACTTGCATGGATGATGCATCTAGGGATTGACACTACCATATACTTGCTTCAGACGCTGGATCTGACCTAGATTTTCCAGATGAGTGATTAGGTTAAAGTTTTGGAGCAGGTACATTTACTTCACTTTAAACCCTACTTTGACCAAACTTGCATGGATTGGTCATGGATGGACTTGCATGGATGGATTGGTAGTTTCCATCTAGGGATGGAAACTACCACACCTACTTCGGATGCTGGATCTGACCTCGATTTTCCAGATGAGTGACCAGGTTAAAGTTTTTGGAGCAGGTCCATTCCCAAGGAACTATAAGCCCTACCTGGACCAAACTTGCATGGGTGATGCATCTAGGGATGTACACTAACAACCTGCTTCGCGTTCTGGATCTGACCTAGATTTTCCACATGAGTGAATTTAGACATATTTTAACCAAATTAGCATGGATGATGATGTATCTAGGGATGGGCACTTCTAGACTTCCTTTGGATTCTGAATCTGATATTGATGGACATTGATCTTGGGATGTACACTAACTAGGAAAAAATATGATGTGAGATTTGCCTTACTTGTAAATAACATTCGTCGAGGTGAGCTTAGTAATCTTTGATTACCTGTGTTTAAAAGAAAGTTCGGATATATTTTTGTTACCCTTGTTTAGAATTTTGATAGAGAGACAGAGAATAGGAAGAAAAAAATAAATAAAAAAATATAAACAGAAAAACCAATGTTTGATATGGAATATATTTCACAAGAGAGTTTTTTCCTAAATATTTATAATATCAGGAGTGCGATATCCAACTACGTATGCAACATCAAATATCCATTTAAATTACTATTACATTTTCAATTATTGATTGTTTTTAAAATAAAGTACTCGTGCAACGCACTAAATTTGCATTTTAAACTACCATGGGAATGGATAGTTTATATAATTGCTTATTAAGTTTTTATATAAAAAAAAATGTCCTTGAGTTAAAAAAAAAAGAAGTTAAAACGAGAGGAAAACTGTATCAAAAATCCATTAAAAGAGCTGAAAATTTTATGGTTTATATCTATGAACAAAATAATTCTGGAAAGCCTGTGTCTTTTTTTAAATTTCATATATTTTTAACTTTTATCTATTATTGAAATTTTGTAATCAATTGTTGTTGAAAATCTGTGTATTCATTTGTGATGTTGAATACAGACCCCAGGGGGAAGGGGTCATGAATATCACAATTTTTACTCCCCTTCACACATAGATGCTATATGTCAAATTTGGTTGAAATTGGTTCAGTGGTTCCAGAGAAGAAGCTGAAAATGTTCAAATGTTAACGCACGACGGACGACGCACGCCGACGGACGAAAACAGATAGCAATAGGTCACCTGAGTAAACTCGGGTGACCTAGAAAGCTAGTCTAACACCCATTGAAAAAAGTGTGCGCTGTCTTGATTTACTTCTCCGTTTAAGCTGCCATCTCAAAATATTTCTAACAATGATTTACCACCATTTTATCTTACTACTTCCACAATAAAACATTCCCCTCAGCGACACAACCATTTTAATTAACAGTCCCCCTGGGCCTGAGACCGTTAAAAACTTCGCTGCCAGTTCAGCGATGGCAAGACATTTGGTCCACATCTTCGCTAGCCAAGGGTGACGATCCGCTCCTCTCCTCTTTTTACCATCGTCACCCTTGGCTATAGCGAAGATACCATTTAGTTGACACAAGTAAATAGACATACGGCATATTAGTTTTCCTATCTCCGATATCAGTACTGGGGTATACCTTTTGCATTGATGATTTGTTACTACTCACGGGTACGCACTCGCGTTGAATGGACGACAAGAGTTCGTGCCGGTTATCTCGTAAACATTAACTTTGTTTACATTTTATTTGCAGTTTACGTGTTTGTTTACTGCACTGACCTGTGCAAGTGTTGTAACTTTCTCTCCTGCCAAAGAAGTGTTTTACAATACAGTAGCTATGTAGCATACGTCCGTCTGCACAGATGAAAACAGAATAAAACATGGCAGACAAAATCTTTTACACGAATCGTGTTCAGCTTTAAGGAGGAATGCCACATCAGAATTTCATTTAATTGATCTTTAAGACATAGAACATTCATATTATGCATTTATTAACAGCAAATTTTAAACCATAAAGCATCTAATTTGCATAAAACTTTTTTTTTATTTTCTATGAAAAAATGGAAAATGGAAAAAAGTTTTTATAAAATAATTAAGAGCTAATATCGGAATTTCAATCCTGAAACCATAACTTAACAGGGATCATCTGGGATGTCTCAAAGATCTACGAGATAAAAATTTGGTGTGGCATTCCTCCTTAATTACAGTAGCTTGTGTCTTAGATACCAATTATCCTCAAGGCCCGTGGATCTCTCGTTTTCATAGAATAATAGAAGTTAAAAATGACAGTTTTTGTATTAATAACATAAAAACCTTACAGATGCAGTGTTTTATTTCTTTATTGATAAGTGTGATACTGTGTGATTTTACAGATAGACAGAAAGGGGAGACAGAGACAGTATAACAAAGTTTCTAAGTACAAAAAACAGTCTCTAGAGACATCTATCTTAGATGTGCCAGAAAAAGAAAAATCCCAGTGTCATTAAATTAATCGATACAATTCAATGCACTCAGGTGGTGTTCTTAAATCTGCTGAAACATAAAATGGCACATTCAACATATTCATGTTCACATGATTTTACTATACAAATCTTAATGTTACAATTCTCAAGTATCTTAAAAAAATATTTACTGTTTTAAAATATGCAATATTTTATCTTGTTGGCAAATTCACTAAAAATCAGCCACATAGAAATCATCTGCAAAACAGAAATTTAGAAAAATAACACTACCCTCCATCCCATAATTCTGTGTATTGTATATTTTGGGTAACCCATTCCATCCCCAACTTTAGGGATGATTGCTCCCAGCACTCTGTCAACATAAATATGCTTTTATCAAAATAAAACACAAAAATAAATACTTTGATAATTAAGTGATTTTTATGTCTGGATAACAACTATTTAGTTTCTACCTTATATATTATGGAATACTTGAGTATCCATTGTATAGCATACGATCAGTTTTAATACATATAGAACAGCTAATATTTACAATCTGAACACATTTTTCTTTTCATAATACCTCATAACTTTCCTTACTTTCTTTTTAAAAGAATTTTTCAAGTGCTTGCATAGAATATCAATAGTGAAAATATTATAAAATCAAATTTTTATTTTCACACTACTTATTTTTTTTTTAATTACAAAGAAAAAAAATCCAACAATCTTCAAGTCATGAAAAAACCAGTGTCAACAAAACAAATAAAACAAAGCACCGAAAAACGGGTGTGATGTACAATGAGGCTCTTGCGTACATGTACTTTATCACATTCAAAGAGAGACAACTGAGCACTAACCCAATGACCACTAATGCATGATTCCATAAAACTCCATCTCTCCTTACATGATTATTTTAGTATGACATTCTGACATCCTAGCAATTTCCTAAAGAAGGAAAACAGAACTGAAATGACATCACCTGTTGAACCAAAGACTGAAGTGAGCTATAATTATGTCATTGAAATCTATGAAACCTGACCAAAAAAAAAATTAGGACATAAAAAATTGTGAAATCTTCCATAGAGACGGTAAAAGACAAACACAAAGTAATTTTTTTGATCTGTAATCACATTCATAATTCTTCAACTAACATTTTCAATATCTTCTACAAAAACATTCTCAAGTTGTTTAGGCCTACATGCACCTATGACATTCAAACCACTCCCTCAAAATGGACCTTTTAGGCAAGTAGACTTTTTGTCTTGATCTTGGCACTTGGGGGCTCACCATGTCAGTAGAGTGCCTATCTCCTTTCCAGCACTACAAAGTCATGAATTTCACACCACACAACTACCAACACACTAGGATGTTGAAGGATTAGCTGACTTAATACGACCCGACCCAGATTTAGAGGTCATGAGGCGTTCCACCATCGTCCTGGCATATCTGAGTCTGCTGGCAAGTTCTCGGGTACATCCAAACTTTTCAATACCACTCAGTTTAAAGACATGAAAATCTCTCTTTTCATCAATGTATGTGACTGCTTGCATTAGTGGACATAAAATAATCTTTGTATGGTCTTGGAAGAAATTGATCTGAAAGAAATCAGCAAGTTACCAATTTTCTCCCTCTTATTTTTAATGAAGATTTAATTAAGTATGTGTACCCTAAAAATAGAATGACCCTTTCTCCAAACTTATTGAGCAGCCTTAATGGATGGAAGGAATAAAATTCAATTTTTTTTCTAAATAAAAGATATAACAACCTTTGATTTACACTTACTTGTAAAGTTCCATTACTGAGGTGCAAAACAATGGCACTCCTCGTCCTAAACCAGTGCCTGAGGAAAGGCAATCTTGTCATGTCATCTCCCTCTCTGGGTGTCATGTTGGCTCCAGCCTGTGCAGGAAAAATAAAGTGTCTGAACAAATGTACGAACGAAGAGAAATCAGAGAATCAATAAGAAATGGAAATAATATAAAATGAAATTCATAATTTTATGATCATTTTTTAAGGACACATGCAACATTGTTTTGAATTTTATTTTTTTCATTCTTTGTGTAATTTATGAGTTCCAATAATGGAAGGACCTTTGTGCAATTTTATTATGCTTGGTAATGCTGTACACCTCCTCTGAATCAAATTTTGAGGAAATACCAGCTGAAACTATATTTTTCTTTATAAAAAAAAAAAAAAAAAAAAAAAAAAGAGTTTCATCGTATCTGATGATATATTTTTTTTAATCTAAGAACATCTGATGGTACAATGATTTAAATTAAGAATATCTTGGAATTTTATCAGTAGGAAATTTACATTGTAAAGTACATGTACATGTATGTTGCGTATGACCTTAAATTTGAAATATCTCTTGAAATACAAGGTTACCTTGAGTAGATGCTCATTCATGTAGTTTCTGAAGTATTTTAGCAGAGTAACTTTTTTGGTAAGGGTTTCTGGGAACACTTTGAGGGTGTGGTAATGCTCAGTGCCATCTCTCTCTATATACTGCACATTCCTAAATTGAACAACACCATTACCATTTATCAAAAATATTATTTGTGTTTATAATTTCACTTATTGTTTAGAAGCAGAATTGTTGTTATAGAAAGAGAGAAAAATAAACTTCCCCATTCCATTTTTTAAAAATTATAATGTCAAACAGCTTTAGAGGTTTCCCTTTCAATATAAATTTTCAAAAACACTTACTCTCCGTTGGCTAGAAGGATGAGGCGTGTTGAGTCATTGAATAGTACTCCTACACTGTTGTCACACAGCTGATAGCCTAGGCCATACTTGTCCGAGTAATCTACCCACTTACTGACCCAGTAAATAGGAATAGAAGCAGGGTCTTCTGCCTCCTCTATAAAAGTCAGAAAATTCTGATCATTCCATGAAACATAATAACCCTTCTCTGGTATTTCCACTTTGATTTTTGATTTTATAGTAAAGCTAGTAAATGCAAATATTTAAAAGGCAATTTTTGAACAAAAATTTTTAAAATCTTAGTTGAATTACCCTCTTGTATTTGGATTTTTTCCGATGGCTTCGATGCTATCACAGTCGAAAGGACGGCAAATAGGTCAGATAAATAATAGTCTGCCGGTTCATCACCTACAACACATAGAACAAATTTACATAAAAAAATACTTCAGATTTTAATCTTTCTATTTGTACTTGTTGAAACATTTAATCTCCAAAATCATTTCCGAAATTCTTCTCCTGCTTACTTCCTTTCCTTCGTCCTTCATCAGCGTCTTGTTCAGATTCTTGTGGATACTTGTCATCTTTTTTCATGTCTGTTGGGGCAGTCTGTGGCCGTGAATTTCCATCTGAGTCAAGAATAAAAAAAGAAATCAAAACTGGTACTTAGTTCAATTCTTTTTCTTCCTTTTAGTTTCTGAATGTTATGATACAGAAAAATTTTGAATTTTCTTTTTGTTTACCAGCTCTGTTGATTTCTAGTAGAGGTCGTCTTGATAATGCCTCTGAGCGTGCTAGTGTATCAAATCTGGGAGCCATGCTCAGGCAACTGGTAGGGAGTCTTGGGGGAAGGTAACCTATAAAGAAACATTTCTTCTTTTAACTATAAAACTAAAAATACAATGATCTTTATTTTAATATGCTTTCATGTGATCTCAAACAGATTTCTAAGATTTTTTTTTTTTTTTTTTTTTTGGCATGTGTCTATTACCTGAGTGAAAGAATTCGTCCTCTAACAGAGCTTCCATTCCTGGTCTGTCTGTGGGGTCACCTTTGAGTAGTTTAGCAATTAAGTTTTTGGCGGGCTGACTGACTCGGGAGGGAATGTGATATTCATTTTTCTTGATTTTTAAGTAGGTATCCTTTAAACAGGAGGTTTCAAATGGAGGTTTCCCCACCAGTAAAGTATACCTGCCACAACACAAAGCATCAAACTAAATATAACATTACTCATTTTCCATGAACAGCTCTTTGATGATACATTATACACTATATTATAAAATATGTTCGATCAATGCTTAGAATGGATGCAACATATAGATTTATTTGTAGCTCTTGCTTTATAAACAAACTGATAACCTTGGGGCCTTTTACTCACAGTATACAACCGAGTGACCATACATCCACTTCGTAACTGTGACCCTTCTTTCCAAGGACCTCGGGGGCAATGTAATTTGGCGTGCCACATAATGTTCTGTAAAGAAAAAAAAAACAACATATTAACAAATGCTTGTTCTTTCCATTTGGCTTTTTAAAGATTTTTGAGACTAAGTATAAAATATCTAAACTTGGGAGTCCAAAATGAGATTTCTTTCAGAATAACACAATGCAATTAGTCATGCAGCACCATCTGAATAGAGGTTGACAAGTCCAAGATAATTAATTTTGCATGGGCTAAATTATAATCAAACACCATCTTTGCCATCTGACCTTTTCCTCTCTCCATCATAATCCACTCTTGTAGCCAATCCAAAGTCTCCGATTTTGACCTCCATTTCATCATTGATAAATAGATTTCCTAGTTTCAGATCTCTGTGAATGACTTTGAAGTTGTGTAGATACTGACACGCGAGAATGACCTGTCGCACAAAGTACCGTGCCTCTGGTTCTGTTACAGCCTTCCTTCTCTTGTGCAGTTCCATCAAGGACTATATATTTATAACAAGACATTATGCTTTATTACAAGAATTGTAGTTTTGCATTTTTTAATACAAATGAAAATATCAAAGATTGACAATTATATTTATTTAATTTTGATATATACATGTACTAAAAATCATAGAAATTTATGCTTTGTATATGTAAATAGGAATAGGTTTTTAAACTTAAATACCAATTTCAAAATATTGCAGGAAATGTGAGGAATTTAAGGTTAAATATATACATTTGTGGTATCTCTCCATTATATAAACATGCAGAGAGCAAATATCTTCATAACTGTATGAAGTTTTTCGAAGGTCATAGGTCATTACGTGACCCAATCACACAGCGCAGTAATATCTACATAAAAAGACTTACTCCACTAAGCAATATAGCATGTTTTTCATACATAAAAATGTAAAAAATACTCAAGTAAATTGTAATAATCATTTTATTTACAATGTAAACGAGTATTTAATACAGTTTTTGATCGGTTTTACATAGAGAATAGAAAACTACATGTTATAAGTTCCATGTCTGAGCTGCATAGTCTCAACGTTTACCCTTATTTTTCTCGCAGACCTCTGAATGCTATAATTTTTTTTCGTTAAACTTTACTCACAATAAATTTGAAAATCTGTTGAAAAATATCAATGTAATGCAATCACGCCACAAACAGCTGACAAACACTGCACTTTGGAAGTTCGGTAGGCACACCTCCATCATCGAGATCGTTGTGACGTTGTCTTAACAATGTAAGCTGTCGCCAGTGTCTCCATGTCAACATCATAAATTAATATAAATATGCCTTACTGAAATCGTAGATTTTATGGTTTTGATCAAATTTTGTACTTGATTTCAAGTTATCTGGTCCGGACAAGTGTCTCCATCCATCCCTTTCCTACCGAAATTCCTCCAACTTTTTATTATCAAACATCGGACGTGTTTCTTGTGTTTTTTAACATCGAATATGGGTTCTCATGAATACAAAAATTCCCAGACACCAATATGCTCACTATAATTGATCGCAAGTAGCCTTTCACAGAATATTCCCTTCAAAACAGAATCCTTTGCCAGATGAATTTGAAGCGTAACCGCTTTTCAAGCCGATTTACACCTAGCGTAATTTGTCGAAATCTACGACGTGCGGTTAGTGCAATATTTATATTTGATTACATTCAATTGTCCATCTCAAATGTATATACAAGTAATAAATAACAAGTTTAAAAACTTCAATGGGAATTGAAGTGGGTCGGTACGTGATCAAATCTTCTGAGAAGGCCTTCGGCCTTCACAGGATTTGATCACGTGACCGACCCACTTCAATTCCCATTGAAGTTTTTAAACTTGTTATTTATTTCTTAAGTAAAATTGAAGCTATGGTTCTCAGGTCAATTTTCTTAAAAATAGATGACGGTGGGAGGTTTTTTTTGGCCTTTTTATTGTCAATAAATTAAACTGGGGGGAGGGGGGAGGGATTTTTTTTTAATTCCAGAAAATTCTTCCTTTATAATTCGTTATTTATCAAGTGCAAAACTATGAAAAATTGAGGACAGAATTTTTTCTTCTGCATTGGTCTCCGCATTACCACCTTTTTTAAAATTGAAAATATGAAAAAAAATTTGCAATGTGGCTACCTTAAAATGGACCAGCAAGGGCCCAAGAACCATAATTTCATTTAGCCTAATTCTAAACAATGCAAAGTTAAGAAAATCATTTGTTAATATCATCATTCAAAAAAATTTAAAATATATATTTAAAGATATACATGTATATAAATCTCTCTCTCTCTATATATATAATTGATTTGATATGACACTTATAACGGGAAATAATATTTTAGAAGACAACAAAAGATGAATGACAAATGCAGCGTCAGGTACTTTATTAATGTCACATTTTAACACCTTTCAAACATTGTTGGCTGTCAGGGTGTTAATGGCATCCATTAATACTTACCCGCCTACGACACAGCTCCAGAAGTATGTAAACATTGTCCATGTCCTCAAAGAAACTGTGAAATTTGACGATATGTTTGTGGGAAACACTGCGATGAATACTGATCTCTTGGGTCATCTGATAATTATTCAGTGAAATAAACTTTTCAACATGTTCAATGATGGTGTCAATGGTGATAATTTAAAAACATTTAAAGAACTGAGCATAAATATTTCACACATCTGTACAAGAATTTCTGATATGTTCCCAATTAGATATTCCAAAAGAATCACTGTACCTTGTCTTTTTGATGCTGTTTCACTAGAAGGGACTTTGGAACAATCTTTCCAGCAAATATCTCTTTTGTATCTGTGTCTGTCAACTCGTAACATTTTGCAAAACCTCCCTAAAGTAAAATAGTTGATTTTCATTGTGAATCATTTTTTAATAGAACCCCCCCCCCCCCCCCCCCCACTTAATAAACCTTAAAATGAAATGCTCCTTAGGTTTTATATTATTGAATAATAGTCATAACCGAGTACAAATGGTAGGACCTGATCCCTTTATAAAATAAAAGTAAAATCAAGCCTCTCATGTCTAAAACTTTTACACCTTAAACACCCCCCCCCCCAACCCCGTCCTAAAAAAAAACACATTATAAAAAAATTTTAAAAATCCAGACAAGGACATAATGGGGAACCAAATTAGTTCAATAAAAAATTAAAAATGAAATTGAATATAAATAAAAAGAATTCCAATATATAAAATTACCCCCCCCCCCCCCTTTTCCAATCACTACTACCAATGCATTCATACAAAGTTACAAAGTAAAATTATCAATCAAATTACAAAAATTAAACGACCATTGCAATTAGGCCTAGTTGGAAAGTTGGAAATATTTTTTCTGTCAACATGGTCAGTGTTGTTCATGAAAGATTGCTATAAGTTGAAAGTGCATTGCATAAAAAAATTATTATCAAATGAAAAATAACATTGGGGCAAATATAACATACCATGTAATTGTTCAATTATTGTTGTCATTTTCATGACATCAAACAACAGTGAGCAAATTATATAATTATTAATGTTCTGTTTATAAAAATAGTCCACCATTTTCAATTTAAATCTGCGACATGCCTGTACACGTTTTGAAAACGAAGTTGCTTCTTCTATTTCTGTAATATGAATGCAATGTATTCTTATATGAAGTTTAAACATGAATTTTAATAAAATGTGTTTAATATATATAATGCATCAGATTTAAGTTGTACCTTTCCCAGAAATCTGCCTTTCAGGTATCTTTTTCCACTCCCAGGATCAATGACAATGTCTGGCACTTCCTTGCGTATTTCTTCTCGTCTTAACGCACTCGACATTTTCTTCTAAGTTTTGAATGTTGACATAAATAAATAGAAACAAAAGTAAATACAAACTTAATAGAGATCCGTTTCTTTTTTCTCACACGTCCCTTCCCTTTCTACCTGACTTGGTTTAAATTTAGCAGTTTGAAGATTGTGTACAGCAACAACCAACTGATTGGCTATTACATTCAAGTTTAATTTCATTGGTTAAAAAGGTTTTCCCACTAGAGGGCAGATGGTACAAGCTTTTCGTTGTTTTTCTAGACTTTTTCATATTTATCAACCTAAATGCCAGAGGAGAGTACTCATTTGTGTGCATTATTTTGATTGGACAGTTATATCAAATGAACGAAGGCCTTTCATTCGCAAATGGAAACAGTTCCACATGGCTATGCTGGCAGAACGTCGATTTAAACGAAAAATTTCAATAAATCCAAACGGAAATGCCTGGAGTAATGGTAAAGTTGTATTTCAGTAAAATTATAATGCAATTTCCATGAACTTTGCAATTCTTAATTGAAAAAAACTTAAATTACACTAATGATATGTAAGATTCTGTTAAGAGGAAATTCGGGTTTGGATTGTAATGTCTAATGTAGATGCTGATGTGACAGATAAAAGTTGTTTCATTTGTTAGATTAATGGTTGTCTTTACATTTTCTCTAAATTTATGTCTTGGGATGCATATAGGATATAATTCAAGGTATACACAATGGTCAAAGGTCCTAAATTCGACAGGGTCCGAATTTCGACGGTTTCTTTATTTTGTTTATATCTCCTTCGAAGGGCTTCGATCTCACAAGAATAGACTCATCTTTGTAAACAAAACGTACTACGGAAGACTTGAATCGCATCACCCACTAGTTAGAATAATCTAACTGTGTCTCGGGACAAGCCCTCACCACAGTTAGAATACGTCCCATATACTTGCAATGTAGCAAATCGCAGCGGATCCGCTCCGAAATGATTTTGAAGAATAGAAAAGGAGTTGCACTGAAAATAACAACGAAATTAATCATAACAAACCTTTTTAAGATTGTATATACCTTTTAACCTAAAAAATAATCCACGTATATATGAAAATTCAACTCGTATTCTCAACGTTTTTTCCTCACTTTAAATTTACACGCCATGCTGACATTCAAAAATCTCGGGATTGTTCATAGAAAATGCACGGAGTTTGAGTTTTCGCCCGTGTTTATTTTGGTACATTGCCAATACACGGAACAAATTCTATTGTTAAACTGGGTCCATAAGATAATATCATTTTAACGATAGAACATTCTATCTAATCACCCACATGCAATTAAAATTTACGTTATACCTGTAAGTGACTTATTTCATAAAGTTTTCAGATGAAAAATGTCTGATTTATGTTAACTTACTCATATTATTAGGAAAAGCTTGCAATGCATAATTTGACAAAATGTCATCTGCATAGACTGAAGGTTACACAATCATGTTTGGAAAAAAAGAGACCAAGACAATTTTAGTATGAGTTTAATGCAAATGATTTTTTTTATATTTTAAAACCAAGAATTTGTCAAGATCCAAAAGAGAAAATAATGACATAATTTGAATGCTTGCATTTGTTATCTTAATAAATATAAAGGAGTTATCTAAATACAGACACTATTAACCAACTGCCCTCCCTATGTCTACTTCTTAATACAAAATGACAAATAGGCATATTCAGTTTTTGGAGCAGCAAGGCAGAACAATGTGCAATATATATTTAAGAATGACATTTAGCCAATCAGATGTTAATTAGGGCCCCGCAAGGATTTGCGGGTGCCCTATAGTAATCACTCTGTCTGTCTGTCCGTCCGTCTGTCTGTCTGTCTGTCCGTCTGTCATTCTTCTGTCCACAAATTTTCTGTTTTTTTCTAATAACTTTTTTTAGGGTTGACCAGTTAAGTTCAAATTTGGTATGTTGGTTGAATAGGCAGTAAGACATATTTTGATGCTAAGTTTGGTTCTCTGTGTCATCCAGTTTGGAGCTGGGGTGGTGGGGTAGATTCCTTTACTTTATAGAAGAGTGAATGGGCAAAGAGAGATAACTGCTGAGAATGTTCCTATTATAAACTGTGAAAGGCTGCAATGAGTCTCTTGGGATTAATTAACTTTCCTCTTGAAGAAAATCCAAAGCATTTATCTTTATCTGTCACATTGAGATTAATTAACACCTCTGTCTGCAAATGAAGTTTGTTTAGAAGTTAAGGTCAATTCTGAATGATGTTTACATTCTCTGATATGTGGATTTAATTAATGTTCATACTTTATTTTGGTAAAATACACAATGAGTTATTTATGATTTTATTGAATTCTAAAAACAAGATATAGATAAAGATATCTTTTTTATAATTATTTTATTTTTTTTTTTTCCTTATCTTTCTTTTTTCTTTCTTTTTTCTGCCTTATGTAAATTCAAGATACTATTTATTTTAACAGGTAATCAGATAATAACCACATTCTATCATTGCTGAAAAAGCTCTTATTGTAAACTTAGAAGAAAAGGTTGAGATAGCAGTATAAATAATCCTCTGGGATTGATTATCTTGGTGATCGCAGCAGAAAAATTTTAGAGGGTTATGTTTCTGTCACTTTAAGATTAATTAACACCTTTGTCTGCAACTGATGTTTGTTTTGAAGTTAAGGTCAAGCCTGGGTAATATTTGCATTCACTGAAGGCTGGCATTTTAGAAAACACATGCTTCATTCTTCTTTAAATATACATTTAATTGAGTTATTATGGATATGATATTTTTTACTGCCTTATGTAAATACAAGGAAACTATTTACAGGTTGGTGGATATTTAGCAGTTAAATTGCTTTTGCTTATTCTTCTTTATATATTTTTAAATTTTTGTAATCAAGTAAAATTCTCATCCCCTAATCTGCACCCTTATATTTCTACCCCTCGGCGGGGCCCTTGCTGACTGGTCAGATTTCTAGTTCTACCTTTGTTTGAATTAATTTCAGATTAAATTGCAACAAATTTAACAATATTTATATCTATAGATACTAAAAATTTGTTTTGTTTGGCCTTGCATATCGATCGATGACATAACCATCAAAATTAGGACTCAGTATGGCAGCCCCCGTTGTTTATATGTCACTATTTAAATGCATCACATATCGCGATACAGAAAATAGTACCCTTTGAATGAAGTATTTTAGGAACAACTTATTTTTGTGGATAATTGTTTTAATTATTTGATATATAAAATTGACACATCTTGATAGACTGTCAAAATATGGCATGCAAGGATATATGGTCGAGGGTCCTGTAGTCGTGCGTGCCCAGTAGTTGTGCATTATCAGGGCTCTCGATTCTCTATAATTGGGCCCGTTGAACGGCCCTGTTCCCAATACAAAAAAGGTACCTTTTTTCTCAAAAGAAAGGTGTATAATTCCCAATTTTCTGTAGCAAAATATTTTTTTTAAAAAATAGACATTTTATTTAAACAACAGTAAGCTGCGCCTAGCACCACGTGGGCCAGTCAGATCTGAAAACCATGATGACCATGTGATTGAGGAAATTCAGGAGGATGTGACTAGCGACTGTCACTCAGATTAGTCAGAAAGACAAATAAACCACAATTTCAACACTTAAAGTTAGTAATGAGCAAAGCCAATGTACTTCCATAAATATTCTATCCATATATTTTCTGTTTAACTTTAACAGTTTATTGAAAACCAGAATTGAAGACAAAATCTAGAAAAACAAAATTTGAGTTTTTTTTTTTAATGAATATTGGATTTCCCAATTTTTATAAAATGATATTAATTTCACAATTTGAACGGCCCTGGCCCCAGTCCCAAAAAGTGGTGTGAGAGCCGTGATCATTTTGTTTTAATTTGTCATATGTTGGTCACGTGCTACATGATTACATCATAAACAAATGATTTTCAAAGATTAGAGAAGGAAGCGCCTACACTATAACAAAAAGTTGAATATGCGAAGGAAACATTTATACATTAATGAAATAAACATGGGCATCAATAAAAGCCGCCATTTTGTTAATACTCTTTTTGCAGTTTCTAAATATATACTTTAACTGTGCGGAAGCACCACCTATGGACATGACAAGCACATGGCTAATTAGCATAATCATACATGATGATCACTGGGTATTTGAATTGTTTACTTTGGTCAAGCAATGACAAGCATTATGAAAGATGACCTGATAAAAATTTGAGGTCAATGTGCATTTTGTCGGACCCAAGAACCAAACAGTTTGGTTCTTGGGTTCGACAAAACACATTTTGCAGAGAACACAGTCAGTAAATGTTTTGTAATACCTTTTATTTATTTATTTATTTATTTTTTGTAAAACTCTTGTGTCAACTCTGTAAAATTCTGTCACTGTTGAACACCAACGAATGCAATTAAAAGATAGCTGATCCCACCCACAGTATGGAGTAAGCAGTCCAGTATCTCATTGACAGGTCCAATATCTCACTCTGTGGTCAAACATTGATTTTTTTATGACTGCTCAGTATTGGAAATGTTAGACTTTTTTGGTATAGATTTACATAGGAACCAGTTTGTAAAGGCATAACAAATACATTGTTATATTGAGTGAAGAAATGTCTCTTAAGTTTCTATATACTATATATGTAGAGAAACAGTCAACATAATTAATATTAGCTCATCCAAAAAGTATTGATAGTCTCTTAAATTGATTTATTTAAGAAATAAATAACAAGTTTAAAAACTTCAATGGGAATTGAAGTGGGTCGGTCACGTGATCAAATCCTGTGAAGGCCGAAGGCCTTCTCAGAAGATTTGATCAATTACCGACCCACTTCAATTCCCATTGAAGTTTTTAAACTTGTTATTTATTACTTATATATACATTTGAGATGGACAATTGAATGTAATCGAATATAAATATTGCACTAACCGCACGTCGTAGATTTCGACAAATTACGCTAGGTGTAAATCGGCTTGAAAAGCGGTTACGCTTCAAATTCATCTGGCAAAGGATTCTGTTTTGAAGGGAATATTCTGTGAAAGGCTACTTGCGATCAATTATAGTGAGCATATTGGTGTCTGGGAATTTTTGTATTCATGAAAACCCATATTCGATGTTAAAAAACACAAGAAACACGTCCGATGTTTGATAATAAAAAGTTGGAGGAATTTCGGTAGGAAAGG